ACTCTCTAAGATAGGTACTGTTATTTTCCCATTTTATTAATAAATACAGGCAGCTGAAGCACAGAGACGTTAAGTACCTTGACCAGGATCAGAGCTAGTAAGTAGTGGAGCTGGGTTTCACATCCAGGGAGTTTGGCTGCAGGATCCATGCATTATGAATGACTGAATGAACCTGGATCCTTTTACCCATGTCTGCACACAAGTGCCTGTGTATTAGTGGTCACTAATTTAGAAGGCAAACATTTTTTCTAATTGTAATGGATTTTCCCTCCTTTCCCCTCACTCATTTAGGAAACTTTTAACACTTTTATGGCCAAGTACTAATCTAGCACATGGAATATAGAAATAACAGTTAGTCCCCACTGTCAAGAAACTCAGTCTGATGGGAGAAGATGTAGCAGAAAATAGACAATTATAATATGATGCAGTAAGTGCTATGATGGAATAGGCCTAGAGGCGGAGCATTTAACCCAGCCGGAAAAGGGTAATCCCTAATCTGGAGTGTGATGGAAAAGTGGAATTTAGCCAAGCCTCTTTGGCTTGGATAGAAGGCTGTTTGTCCTCCTTTTATTTTTCTTTGTAGACTGATATACAGTTGCTTTTTCAAAACCTTCAGTTACCTTTTTACATTTTTCCTTCTCTTTTCTTTGTCTGGTTCTGGTTACCAGCGTTCTCATCATTGTTTTTTTGTTTTTTGTTTTTTTACTATACTTTAGTCTCCAATGTCTTTTTCAGTGTTATTGTTTTTTCTTAGTTTATTTCTTTCATCCTACCTAGAAACTCTGTCTTACCTAATATGGTAGAAACTTTAATTTACTTTCTTTCAGCCCCATTCTTTCTCTCTAGCAGATTGGCCACTAAGTATTTAAAATACTCATGCTTATTGGTTTCTGCAGCTTAGGAAGATAGATCTGAGTCACACTCGTGAGGTCACTGGTATATTAATTTCATCTTTGTTCTTCCTGAGCATCAAGGGGAATTACACCCTTGGAGGCTCTTGATTAAATCTGTTGCCCCTAATTTAGTGTTTGTTGTGCATGTTGCTTTAAATGTGCTTTGCTTTTCTATTTTCGGCTCTGGCTCCAACATTTACTAGATATTGACACTTGGCACACAGAGTGGTATCTGCTAAATGCCAAGTACAGCCTCCTCTAAAAACACGGTAGGACAAATTATAAGGAGAGGTAGTACTTGTCTCCGGATTCAAACCAAAGTTGACTTCTATCCCTCCATTACTTACTAGCAGAGTAAACTTGGGCAAGTTATTTAACCTCTCTATGCCTCAATATTCTCAATTTTTAAAGTGGGCAAACTGGTAGCGACTACCCATTAGGTTGTTTAGAGGATTAAACGAGTTAATACATGTAAAACTTAGAACCGTGCCTGAAATACAGGTTTAAAAAGGAAGACATTTGATAAAAGTCTGGGATTCTTATCCTTTTTGGCTAAGTCCTATTTTTCCATCCAAGTATTTGGCCCCTGATTTGCTGCACCTCTTCCTTACTTGTTCATCAGACATCTGGTTTTACTTCAAATTGTGCTCATTTTCTTTGCTTTTTCTGTTTCTCCTTCGCTAATCTAGGTTTTCACAGTTCTTGATATCCTTTTTCTTTGTGGTGGAAAATAACTTAGAAGATTTCTGGAAAGATAATACATTGTTATCAGTGATGATTTCATGGCTTATTAGTAGGGGTTTATAATAATAAAATAGGTTTTTGTTTCAAATAGCAATAGGGATTATTCAAAAGATAAAAATTCGTTTCCCATGCTTATTATCATTATGCATACTTATCATAAAAGATTAAAATATTTTAGAAATATAAAACTCAGAAGTAAAAGATGTGTTTCCAAACATTTATTTAGTGCTTCCTATGTGATAAGATACTATTAGGTGCTGAAATGTAACTGTTGTTAATAGTTTGGTATGTTTTCTTACAGCTTTCTAAAAAGATTTGTGTAATCATATAAGTAATGCTATTTACTAAAATAAAACCAAACTTAAAAACTATTGTTACTTTCATCACGAAGTAGTACATTTTTTATGGTTTTCATGTTATACATATTTATCCTATTCTTTAAACTACTTGATGTGTTCTCTTGAATACTCTCGAATATACTACAATTTAGTTAATAAAACTTCTTTTGATGGATTCCTCATAGTTCGGTTTCTAATTATTACAAGCAGTGATACAATGACAATCCTCTTACATATATCTTTTTGGAGTATGTGTTTCTGAAGGATAAATTTCTAGAAGTGGAGTTGCAGGATCAAATGGTATATTAATTTAGAATCTTAATAAATTCAAAAAGATTGCTCTTATTTAAATTCAACCTTCCTTCTTGCCTGATTCCCTGTACTTTTAGGAAAACTAGATATTACCAATCTTAAACTTTCTGTCAATCTAATTAATAAATGTGTTTCATTGTTTTAATTTACATTGACTCTTGATCTTAGCCAAAATGCTGAGAAGTGATTAATTTATATTTTAAAATTATTAATGGCTTTCTTGAATATCCTTATTGACTGGTCATAGATTATGTATTGTGCTCTGTACTACGTTCATATCCTTGGCCTAATTATATAATGGATTATTCTTTATTTTATTGATTAGTAAGTTTGTGGTATATTGGTAAAAATAGCTTTTTGTCAAATGTTAGAAAAGTTTTTAGCTTGTTTATGCATACACACACGCACACATACTCTTACTCTATACCTTATTTTATAGACTTTTTAATTTAGTAAGATTTCATAATCTTTTTAATGGCATCTTGGTTTTGTTTTCATGCTCAGGAATTCCTTGTCCACTAAGAGTAATAAGAATCTGAAAGATTTTTGGTATCAGGATAATTTATCAATTAATTAATTTTGAGACAAGGTCTTGCTGTGCTGCCCAGAATAGAGTGTAGTGGCATCATCATAGCTCACCTCAACCTCAAACTCTTGGGCTCAAGCAGTCCTCCTGTCTCAGTTTCCTGAGTAGCTGGGACTACAGGCACGTGCCACCACACATGACTAATTTTTTAAAACAAATTTTTGTAGACATGGGGTCTTGCTATGTTATGATATGATAATATGTTTCTCAGGCTGGTCTCAAACTCCTGGCCTCAACTAATACTCCTGCCTTGGCCTCCCAAAGTGCTAGGATCAAAGGCGTGAGCCACTGTGCCTGGTCTGCTTTCTGATTTTTATAATAATCAAGATTTATGATATCCATGAATGTTTATTTTCTTTTCTCTTTTTCCTTTTCACTGTGTTCCTGGATTTTGGTCTCCAATTTAGTATGTACAACTTCATCAAATACTTTGGAACCTTGGCATATTGTTATTTACTGTGAAACAGAATAGAGTCTAAGGTGGGACCATCTGGGATCCTGCTTATTTGAATACCAATTTATACTATAAATACTTATACTTGGTACCATTTTATAAGTAGGGTAACTGTCAATCCCTTTTTGCCTGAGATAATCTAAGTTTAACTTGTTTTCCAGTGTAATTTTTAGTAGTCCCCTTTTACTTTCATAAGTGCCTCAGTTTAGATAAAAAATTATGAGTTATAAAGGATAGTTGTTTATATGGGATAGTTTCTTAGGATATTATAATACTAAAACTTCAGTTTCTGTTTACATTATTCAGTTGTTTCTGTTTATATTATTCCTCCAATACTTAGTAATACTTTGTTTTAACTTAAAAAAATTCTCATTTCTATTATTTTCATCATGAACTTGTTACAGACTTCAGAGTTGCTTATCTGAGGTATTACCAGAGCAGTTATGCTAGCGTGCACCCTCTTTGCTTTCATGCCAATTTCCAGAATGATGTTCAATTTTTGAATAAAATGTTCCTTATAATTCTTATTTATCTGGTATTACTCTAAAGATGATGAAGCATTTGTCTGTGTATGTGTACATGTTTTAGTTATATTTTACTAAATATGTGATCAAATCTGTTCGTATGGCTATGTCCAAATCTTTTAATCTGGCAAAATAACCTTTATTTATTACATTAATGTTTTTGGTGTTGTGTATATCCCTAGATATGAATTAGTTTTTACTTGCCTCACTGGATTTTGTACTGTGCTAAGTAATACTGCCCTTAACACCGATCCCTATGGGAGCTACTTGATGCCAGTCCCTGTTGTACTGTAACAGCATTGATAAAACCTTGGGATTTGTTATCTCCCAAGTAGATTTTTAGCTAGCTTATATTTTATTCAGATGGTACTTCTCCAGCCTTTTCTTATGTAGTACTGTGTCAAAGGCCTTTTTATAATGTAGATAAATTGTGTCTATTCCATTTCTTTTCTCTGCTTCTATTGCTGCTTTTAAAAGGTTTATAGAGTTTAGAATTAGTTATTTTTACCACTGACTATAAATTGTAAGTTGACTTATCTTATTCTTTCTAAAACTATTACTTTACATTTTGGGGTTTTTGTGAAGTTGCCACTTTATAAGGCCAAACAGTGTCAATTTCCTTTTAGTCAAAAATATCTTTTTTAAAGAATATATCTGTAAAAGCCTAAAAAATTTCTTTTGTATTTCTGATTGTGTGTTTGTATCATAATATATATGTTTCTCAGTGTTATATGTTGATTTATGTTTCACCCTTAATTTTCATATTTGTTGGTCTCATTAATAAAATAATAATATTTGAGAACACTGATCTGGTGAGTAGAACACCATATAGGAATTTCAGTTGTGTTACCATTAGCTTTAAAATGTTACTCTCTTTAGATAAAGCTATTTATTTTTAGGTATTTCCAATTTTATGGTCTGTAATCTGTGGATGAAAATTTTTGTAAAAAGTTTGCTTTGAAAATGGTTATCTAGGCACTGAAGAAAAATTACATTAATGAAGTTTTACTGCTATTTTTTTGCAATGGGTGTAGTAATACAAGGAGAAGTTTGTTTTATTAGACACATAGTCATGTTTCTTCTATAGTATATAGATATCTATTATAATACATAATGTAATGTTTGTTGGTTTTGTTTTTGTGTCTGCAGAGAGTGATAATGAACTCTCAAGTGGAACAGGTGATGTGTCTAAGGATTGTCCAGAGAAGATCCTGTATTCCTGGGGAGAATTGCTAGGAAGATGGTAAAATTTTATTTTTCTTATGGAAAATTTTATATTTACATTGTTGACTTTTTTATTAATTAAAATCTATGTATTAAAATGGATTTTAGATTAATATTTAAATCTATCTTAATGCTAATATCTTAATGTACTTTAAAAACATAAAGATTAAAATATAATTCATAGATACACTTTATGTTTGGCTAGGTCTTCCCCCCCATATGGTCTTATTTAACTTTTATTCTGGAAGATATATTTGTCTTGTTATTTCACTTAGACATAACATTGTTCAGGGTAGTCACTTTTATGCTGCGTTGTCAACACGTTTAAATGTCTATTGTTAAAGAGTTACATTTTTTTCTTTACCAAGTCTGTTAGCACTAAAAGGGTCTGTACAGTTTAGAATTACTCATTTTACCAGAAATTGTTAACTAACTCAGCTTATTTTATTCATTCTGACTAAACCTATTACTTTACATTTTGGGGTATTGTATGTGGAATTACAATAAAAGTTACTCTGTTTATATTTATTATAATAAGTATTCTGTTTATGATAAATACATTTTTAATAAAGGTAATCATGATTATCATATGTTGGTGAAATAAAAAAATCCTGCCAACAAGAAAACTCCTCTATACCAGTATAGACTTAGAAAGCACGACTTATTTTTAAGTGTGCATGTCGTGTTACATGCATGTGGGTAGCCCAGAAGAGACTGGGCAGAATTTCACAGTTAAGTAGAAGAAAGAATAATTAAAACTTCTTTTATCTTTTTGAGAGACAAATGGATGCTTCTTGTGATAGTCTTCTGTATACATCCTGGGAGACTCTTAAGTTATAATTTAGGAAGTATGTATTTCCAATTCCGAATGTTGGAAGGCTCATGATTTCTCATTGTAAAATCTGGAGACTAGGTTTATCAATTTCTAACCAAAGTGTTGGGCTTATGTTTCTAAGGAGACACACTAAGAGAAAGGGAAGGCCAGCTACATCTCCTTTATTAAACAAAGAAAATTGCATTTTATTTATCCTTACACATATACATATAAAATGAAAACATCTCAGAGAATTTATTTAACTCATTAATTAATGGAGAACAAATAAGGTATTATAGCCAATCAAGATGAGGATTCGATGTAGAGATTTATGTCCTTTACCTGACAATTCATTTGTAACCACCATAAATAGGAATCATTTACATAGCTATATACAGGAAAACATTTGCCTTGCCATTCTCTTCTGTGTGTTGAGAGTTATAAACTAGCTTAGTCAAAGACATATAAAGGCACACGCTTGTATGTTATCAGATAATGTTCAGATGCTCCAGCATTCCATTGAAATGATGTTCAGTAATCTCTTTTGTCCGTTTCAAAAATCTTATACAATTTTAGCCTACACTGTATCCAGAAGCTAATTTATTCATTTGTAAGCATTGTTCACCGAAATATAAATTTATCTTGTATGTTTTTATTTATTCCATTTAGGGTTACTGTCCCCCTGTAAGATGAATGGTTTTTTATTTCCCCTCCTCTTCTCCGCCCCCTCCTTTCTTTTTCTTTTCCTTTTCCTTTCCTTTCCTTTCTTTTTTCTTTTTTCTTAAGATGGTCCTGAGTTTGTTAGGAGAATTTCATGGGGGATGAGGAAGGGTAAGAGGTAAGTAGGAGGATTGTTTCAGTCATAATCTAGGTCTAGGCTGGAAAACAGAAACCATACTAGGCTTTTCAAACAGAAGGGTTTTAATGCAGATAATTGGTTTACAGTGTGTTAGAAGGCTGAGAGAGCAGAAAGGGAACACTGAAGTTACCGAAGTAGTAGGAAGCAGCTATGACCTTTAGGACTATAAAAATAAAATGGAAGAAGTGCTGTTACCAGAATCTAGGAACTCAGAGGAGGTTTGAGGAACTGGTGCAGGTACTTCTGAAGAGGGCTGCATACCTGGTTGCTTAGACTTCTGAGGACACTCAGAACAGCTAGGGTTTAGAAGGAACTGTCAGCGGGTGGGGACACTGGTTAGCTCTTCTCTTCTGAAGAGACTTCCAGACCTCTGAGCTGGTGGGGGAGAACTGTATGATTGGTGCTGGTACTTCTTAGAGGGCCTGGCTGGTGTTAGTATTTCTCGGGAATTGTGGTATAGCTGGTGCCAGGAATGCAACTCCTTCTTTCTTTTTTCTTCCTTCCAATTGCACAGGACTGTTATTCTCTCATGTGCCCACCACGCAACTTCAGTAATTATCGACATAAAGACAATATCCAATAAGTATTTTTAAGCTGAGATTATGAGTGATTTTTTTTTATTTTTGTTTTTTTAGGAAGGTAATTTTGGAGTAGGAAGAAAACTGATTAACAGAAACTAGTTGGTAGGTAATCACATGGGTTCATGAGATCTTCTATACGAAACTCATGGGCCTTATATATGGAGAAGAAGCTCAAAATGGAGAAAGACTTCTGAGGTAGAGTTGACAGGGTTTCTCAGGTAAAATTCAGCATACATTTTTTTTCAGATATAATATATTGTCTTTCTAAATTATAATATTTCTATCAATGGATTTCAAGAAATTCATTAAAAGAGCCTGAGAGAACTATTAAGAACTAAGGTAATTGATTTTTAGAACTTTAGAAAACTTGCTGGATTTTTTACAGTTAAAATCTTTTTCTTTTATTTGGGTCATCATTATAGTTGTGTCATGACAATTGATATGAAAAGGGTAACATTTGTCTAATCTAGAGAAGTTTGTATCTTTTATACAAGGATTGTCAAAAAATTTTAATTGCCCTCAGAATTTCTTTTTTAAACATTAGTCTTTAGATTTATAAATTTTCTAAGTATCAGGAGGTATTTAGGTAGGCGATAGGTAGGCATTTACATAAAGATATTTTTGAGATTGATTTAGGTAAAGCACCTGTTATGCAGAGCCCTACACTTTGTGCTTTGGGAATTTTTTTTTAAAGTAGGAGACCGTCTGTATTCTCAATGAAATTTTAAGTAAAATATTTTTAAAAGTATTTTGACCTTATTAAACAGCTAGATCAGTCTATAAAAGAAGCAGAATCTTTACATATAAAATCAGAATTCACATACTTAAATATACTCAGAGAAAAATGTAAGGAAAGATATTTAAGACTAATTTGAAATCATTAGAAAAAATAAAGATAATATGGAAAAGAAAGCTAAGAACAGATTATACAAAAAGTTCAGTAATGGAGGTCTTTATAAGAGATTGGAGTTAAGATGCATTGAGGAAATAACTACATGAACAAAGCAAGTGAACTCAGGGAAGAGAGAGGTTGAGAGAGACAGCAAAAGAAAACATTTGTGATGGCAGAACTTGAAAAACCAACTGAAAGTGGGAGCAGGATTTCTTTCACATGTTGAATATATTTAGAATGGTAATGATGATAATTTAAATATTATTTAAGAAATTTAAGGAATTGGACAGAATAATTTCTGGATAACTGCCTCTGGTTTTGAAAATGTGTGGAAAACTGTTGAAACATTTTAAAGACTAGAAAAAGGTAGTGTTGACTGTGAACACTTAGGCATAAAAATCAACTTTTTTAACAGGAAGATTTTCTAACCAAAAAAACTAAGTGAACATCTGAAGAAAAAAAATGGGTACTGATTTAGTTTATCAAATAGAATAACACTCAAATTGTTCATTCTCTTTTATTACAATAAATTTTGCTTGTATTCTTCATGGCTATATGTTATTTGTCATCAGAGTAGGAAGATGTATTCTTTTTTTTTTTGCGACAGGGACTCGCTTCTGTTACCCAGGCTGAAGTGCAGTGGCACGATCATAGCTCACTGCAGCCTCGAACTCCTGGGCTCAAGTGATCTCCCTCCCACTGCCTACTGAGTAGCTGGGACTACAGACCTACCCCACCATACCTGGCTAATTTGTTTATTTTTTCTGGAGACAGGGTCTCAGTTTGTTGCTCAGGCTGATCTCAAGCTCCTGACCTCAAGAAACCTCCCACCTCAGCCTCCCAAAGTGCTGGGATTACAGGAGCGAGCCATCTGCCCGGCCAGATGTATTCTTAATCAATGTTCTCTCAACCTAGTTGAACAGCAGCAAACTGTGAGGAAAACAAAATAAAATCTAAGCTCAGAGGAAACTTGGAAGATTAAAATCACTAAGCATGAACATACATAGCTTCTCACCTTTCCACATTAATGTTCCATTTTTTTAAACTTAGAAAAAAACCAGCAAAAACACAAGCAAATCAAGACAAAAATATGTATTCTTCATCTTCATAATGACCTTTAACCTATCCCTTTTCTTGATGAAGGTTGTATAACTTCTGCATGTCCAGTATAGTTAGGTTATATAACTTCTCATTATCCGGGATGGAGAAATCTGCAGCCTTTCTTGATGCCACTCCATCTTTTAATTTTGGATGTAGTTCTTCCCTTTTCTGAGAAAACTTTTTCACTCATGTTTTCATATCTAATAGCCGCCTACTTCTACCTCCCCTCTGTCAAAATTGCCCTAATTCCATTGGTAACTTCTTAGTGGTCACAATCACTGACTTTTCTTCTCATCTCTTGATTCTCAGCTGTTTTTGTTAAAATTGACACCTTCCCTTTGAAATTCTCTCCTCTAGTGGACAGCTTTAAAAATAGAAAGAGTTCTTATATGCCTAGTTTCAAGAAAATCTTTTTTGAAGGCAAGGGAAATTAACTCGATGAGCACATGACAGTTTCCGATCCTATTAAAATCAGTGAGAATGTTTGCTTCTAAAAAAGCATTCTTTTTTTTTGTTTAGCCTTAGTAATTGACATATTTCATTTCATAAATATATTCATTTATCAAAAATTTATTGAATACTTTCTGTGTGCCAGGCACTGTTTTAGGTAGTTGGGATAGATAAGAAGACAAAAATTCTTACCCCTGTGGAGTTTATATTCATGAATTAAAAACTAGATAATTTCTGTATGATTAATATATATTTGGTTTATGTTGACTTTTTAAATAATTATATTAGGTATCTATCTTATTTCTAGGGCAGAATTCAGCTTGTGTCATAACTAGATGCCTATTTTCAAGTTCCTGATAGCTGCAATTAGTATGTCAAAGCAGTAACCATATGTAGTTATATTTTTATCAGAAATATTGAAAGCAATGATTATCTTTACAAATTGCTTTTTTGTTTATTTAAGTGTTCCCTGGTCATAGATGTATATCAGTAGCATTTGGCTTAATATTTATTAGTATTTCTTGAGTAATAGGGTGCCATATACAGTATAATTTCTAAATTGTTACCAAGATAACCAGTAAAATTAAGGCTGTTAAAGCAGGGTTATCAGTGACCCACTTCTTTTTAAATGTCAGTGTGTAAAGATAAATAAAATAGTGCCTAGGTTTTTAAGAGAGGAGAAAAGACATTTTCATTATGCCTGGCCAAACAAGTGGCTGAAGGTCAGCTAGACGCTGAATGTCAATTGAGTAGAATTATATTATGGGAAAATGTTGGGGACTGTTGGCTGTTAACCTTAAGGGGTGTGTGTATGTATGTGTGTATGGAAAGAGATAGTCCAACTTCAAAATGTTAGTTAAGTCATTCTACAAAATAATTTAAGCCAACAGAATACTTAATCAAGCTGTTTGTTCTCTTCATTCTAACTGCAATGTTAGAATATGTTGTAATAGGATGAGTGGATATTAGGAGGCTATTGCACAGGTCTAGGGTGGATAAAACTGGTGGCAATTGATATAGAGAGAAGTGCATGGACTTTGGAGAGGCTGGGAAAATAAGATCCATTACACTTGGTGATGGATTAGTAATGAATTATGGTAATGTCAAAAATAACTCCCAGGTTTCTAGTTTGTATTGATTGTGGTAATGATCACTGCAATGGAATACTCTGGAAAACAACCAGATGTAGGGAGAAGAATATGAGTTCAGACGCGGACATGTTGATTTTGAGGTGCCTTTGAGCCTCTGGAGCTCAAAATACATGTGCATAGTTGATCCTGCCTACAGACGAGAGAGCGAAAGAGTTGGATTACTGAGGGCAAGAGTGGAGAGAGAGAACTCAGAACACCTAAGAGGTTAATAGAGGAGAAGAAATCAATGATGGGGTTTGTAAAGGGGTATAACGAGGTAATACTTTATCCCTGAAGCCAAGGGAAACAGAGTGGTCAACAGTGAAAAGATTAAAAATGTCCCTTCAGTCTAGTGGCTTGGAGAGAGGTCATAAATCACTTACGTGAACACTTTTCAAGGAGAGTTACAGAAGCCATACTGAAGAGAACTGAGGAATGAGTGGGAGCGGAAGAAATAGAGATAGGAAGAGATGGTGATTATGTAACAACTCTTGAGAATTTTGATGTGCGCGGTAAGAGACAGTATGGTAGAGAGTTATGAGGCGTTGAATACAGGTTTCTTTTACATGGAGTTTTAATTTATTAGAGTTTTAATACGTGCAGATACACAGTGATGACTTACTGATTTCTATATGACATGTAGCATATACTTTATTTAATTACTTTGAATTTTCCTTATATATTGTACATTGTGGGATTCATAAGTCAGAGTATTTTGCATTTAATTTCAGAGGAAATGAGCTTAGCTCTGTGCACACTGTTGCATTTAATTAACTCAATTTTATACACTAAAAGTATAGAAATTTAGCTACCCTTAAGCCATGTATGTTTTTCCTATTCAAAAGCATAATCAGAGCCAAACATTAAATTACAAAAAAGATCCTTTTATACCTGATCCTGGCTCTCTTGTGGCATAATATTCTTTGGCAATCTCAAACTCAATTGCATAATGAAGAATAGGCAGCTGGAATGAAGTTCCAGGCATCAGATAGTTTACTCAGGTGTCAGTCTTCTCAAGAATAATGAATACTCTCCTACTTGACACATTTTGTGTAACGTAACTATCTATCGTGTTTTTCCAAATTAACTAAAATTATATTACAATTTAATTCCATGAGAGAAATTTAAAGAATTGAAATGACTTTTTTGTGTCTTATATTTATAAAAATATTTAAGATCACTGTAAATGTTTCTGGCAGCATAGGAAAATAAAAGGGAATTTTCCCTCTTAGTTCTATTACACAGATATTTTGGAATATATTCTTCCATATTCTTTTTCTATACATGTTTAAAAGCAAGTTTCAAAACAGTATGTATGTATGTATGTGTATTTAAAATAACACTTATATACTATTTTGAGACCTGCTTTTGTCACTTAACAGCATAACTGTGTTCTTTAGTGGTATGATAACATGTTAAATCTTATAAACTCTACCTTTTCTACTTCATTTTGCTTCAAGCCCATCGGTATTATCAGCTTAGGTTCTCTAACCCAACAATACAAAAGTTTAGCTAGAAGAGGCTGAAAGAAAGGAGAATGGGTATAAATCTGATAGTTTGTTAAAGATATTAATGAGATGAGTTTATTTGAACTTGTTTGAGTTATGGATGTTCCAGTTTTTTTCTGAGATAGCCAGATGTGACATTATGGGGAAAGCATGGAATATATCTTCAAAAGAAGGGCATGCCAAAACAGGGTCTGGGCCGGAGGTAGAGGAATGTGCATAATCTAGAGAAGTAGGTAGGAGGCCAATTTTAGAAAATAGACATGTACATTCTGTGACTTTTAAGGCTTAAACTTGAAACTAGAGCCTGGGGCGTTAGGTCAAACTAGATTACATTGTCAAGATTTGGAGTCCAGATGGTTGCACCAGGGTCAGTTCTAAGAGACCAAAAGTGAGGAGCAAATTCAAATAGAAACTCTGAGCAAAAAGGCATAGACCATAACTCCAGGTTTAAGCTAGGCACCAGGAAAAAGGTGAGGAATGGAATCACATTCGCAAGTTTGAGAAGTACAATTCAGTTTCTTGGTCAGATGGGCATAGTAGCATACCTACTGTGTGATCATTGACGTTAAGACAAAAGATGTTTGCCTTTGTGCTTATTCTAAACACCCTTGGGAATGGGTAAGACTGGTAAGTGTATGTTACTTCCCTAGCAAGGTGGAGTTATGGAGGTTCTGGTGAATGCAGGAAAGGGTTACTTCTTTCCTTTAGGGGTTTGCAGTTGTAACAAGCAGGGAGACAAATCCAGAAGTGCAAACAATAATGAACTCTTCTTACTGTAAAACCTATATTAGATAATTTCAATCTGGAAGATCCTTGATATTTAAGTTTATGCTGGAACAGAGAACTCTAAGTTAGGCCATCAAGAGATAGGGCTTCCCAGGGCACTTTTGGGTCGGGTTGTGGCTGCTGTACAAAACTGAAGTATGTATATTTCATGCCTCCTGTGCTGTGGAGCCTGCTTTTGTCACTCGGCCCAATCATCCTGACCTCAGAGAAGAGGGTACAGTCAGGGTGTGATAGACCTGTGATCCATTTTCAGCACCCATTCCTGAACACCATTCCCTGCCACATACATCACTATCCGACTTGCCATACGTTCATTTCAGGGGATTCGGATGGCTCTTTTAATGTGTTGTGGTGTTGCCTGTATATAACTAACACATCAACTATTATTAATAAGTTCATAGTATGATTAAAGGACAGGAAGAAAATACTTTTCCTGGTGGTGGAATAACATGGCTCATCAGTAAAGAAGATGAGATCAAGAAAAAAGTCAAAGGCATCGTTGAGCTCACGCACTACTGTCGTTTCATACCCCTACTGTTTTTCTCTGGACCCAGGCTTATGCTTTTATGTAAATTAACAAACACAGTTTTCACTGCAGCAGCAGTTCAGGAATGGTAAAAGGAGTCTGAATGGTTTATGTTCTTGTTTTTTCAGGCACAGTAACCTTGGTGCACGACCAAAAGGGCTATCCACGCTGGTGAAGAATGGCGTCCCCGAAGCATTGAGGGCAGAGGTGTGGCAGTTATTGGCAGGCTGCCATGACAACCAGGCAATGCTGGATAGATACCGAATTCTTATCACAAAGGTAGGAAGCTCTTTTTGTATTATTTTCAAGGGACAGCATATTAAATGCATCCTGTTTTTCATAGTTCCCATAAGTCATAATGCTTTGAACATCTTTTAAAAATATATTGGTGTCGTGCCATCAATACTTCTGCCTTCGTCCTGAACACTTGTTGAGGGTGGTAAAGAGTGCGTGTGGTCATCTATGAACACGTTATACCTTGGCTTTCGTTTTTTCCTTCAAGTGATTTTATAATAACTGTTTATCAAATTAGAATATATTTATATTTCAAATGTTTTCTAACTTTTTAATTAACCTTTTTTATTGTATATGATTTATATAGTTACAGTCTTACACAGTTACTCTAGTATAACTCTTAAATAATATTATAATAAAATTAAAAGGCCTTCTGTGCTTCACCTCACATTTCGATGATGTGGGTTGTTGTCCAAATCTTTATTGTGTCAGGAGCTCTTGGTTCTGCTGTAAATTCCTTTGATTATGTCCAGAAAGCTGGTTTTAGAGCATAAGTAAAGATAAATGTTGGCCTTGATCTTATAGTCTCCTCTTAGGTTTCACCTCCCAATTTCTTAATCTACTGTAAATCATGTATTTTTAAATAATAGTAACATTTTATTGTTTTTTAAAAATCTCTGTTCATAAATGAGATTTTTGATAATCAAGGCTTTGTTCCTCAGAATATTCTGACTTTTAAATCTCTTTATCCCCTGTAATTCCTTCTTCTTTTCTTTCCCTCTTTGCCTCCTTCCCTTCTACAGATATTTTCTGAGTACCTAGTATATTCAGTCACTGTTAAATTCAGGTTTTAAAAAAAACCAAACCTTTACTTTTTTTTAAGATTAATGGTGTCTACCATTATTAGTGAGATATGCAATATGATCCATTGGTATGTGGGGAAAAAATATCTCAACTTCCGTTTGTATTTTTTTAAATACAAGCACAAAAGAATGTTAAGCTACACTAATATTTCTGTGCCATGGTACTGAGGCCTCACTAGGTCCTTGGCTAATGGCCTCTTGTTCCACATGGTGTAGGAGTGGCCTCAGGGAAGAGTGGAACTTGCACCCCGTGGAGTGGAACAACTGTGGGGCCCACACTCATATATGCACTTCCAAAATAATACAGTCTTCTTGCAGTTTGCATGTGCTAGATAAAGTGAATTTACAAGTTATCTAGTTTTAATTTAACCCTCATAAAGTGAATGAGTGGTTTAAAAAGTCTGCTGCCACAGGATGCCGCATGCCAAGTTATTTTTTTTAAATGAACATTTAATGTGTTCCTTCAAGGAAGAATTAATGTTATAATAATGAATGACAAAGCAACTGCTTTTGGAAATAAACTTGTGTTATAAAGGACATTTTAAAACATTTGGCAATTTAAACCTCACTGTGTGATGTTGTCACTGAAAACTACATGCATATGTTACTATAAAAACTCTTACATCTTCTCATGTAAAAACCTGGAATCAGAAATTTTACATATGTTTAAAATTTGTTCAAATAGTTGCAGAGAATTTGGAACTGATTGTTAAAAATATAAAAACACAACACCTTCTGATTTAGTAATGAGAATACCTAGAAGCTGGGCATGGTGGTGCGTGCCTCTAGTCTCACAGCTACTTGGGAGGCCTAGGTGGGAGGATTGCTTGAGGCCAGGAATTCAAGGCTATATTGTACCTGTGACTAGCACTGCACTCCAGCCTGGCAACATAGCAAGATCCTGTCTTTAAAAAAAAAAAAAAAGAATACCTAGAGAAATTTGCTAATTTCCTAGCCACATTTCAGCAAAATAATTGATGGGTGGGACTGAAAAAATGATGCACTTCTACTTGGGTTTGTGGATCTTTGTGTATTTGGCACTTTTTGGTCATGGTTCAGCAGCTGTTAGCCTTTTCTTTTGGTCCAGTTAATTTTTCCTGTCTTATTAAAGGAATGGCAATATTTCAAGATTAGTTAATAAAATGGTTCAGCTCGAACAGAATTGCTTTGTAAAAACCCTACCAGAGACCTCAGATTACACAGGGAAGAAGGAATATGAAGTATTTACAGAAATCTTACTTGTGATTTGGCTTCTATGGAAAAATAGCCTATCATTTAATTCTATAGTAGGAGTGTGCTAGTTTAAAAGTTGAAGCCACAAATCACATTCTGAAGCATTCTTTTCAGGGATGTCAAACATACAGCTAAACAGCAGGCTGGATATAGCCTGCAAATATGCCTGTGTAGCCATCAGTACATCGAAGAATAATATACCTCTGGCTCAAACTTGTATTAACACTTTTGTTTTGCCATGGGCTTACTAATCTATTACTTATTCTCTTTTACACATTTTATTATAATACCTGTTTGACCCTCAAATATATTTGATTTTGTGACTTTGTTATACCACCATGTCAGCCATTACTTCAGAGGGAGCTATCATAGTGTGTTTGTAATTGATTCATATCTACTTGCCCAGCAGGCTCTAGAGTCCGGGGAAGCAAAGACCACAACTGCTTTGCTCTTTGTGGGACAAGCTGTGCCTAGCACAGGGCCTGGCATATTAATGTAGATGATCAATAAAATTTATTTTAGTCCCACCTAAGAGGGACGTAAGGTCACCTGTTGACTTATTTGTATAGTCATTTATCTATTCTTTCTTTCCTTTTTCCTTTCCATAAATTATAGCTTTACACTGTGTTAGATCCTGGATAAAGCTGGTAAAGTATGAAGCAATGTATTTTTTGCAAGAAATCCATCCATCTCACTGGGGAGAGCTATACATCGTGGGTTAATCTGGGCAGCAATTCCTGTTGAGCTAGCATCTGTTGTTCCTGCCAGAGGGTAGGTAGGAGCCCCTAAGAATTACTGACCTAGAGAGTTTTGCAGTGGTATTGGGGCATGTAGATTGAGTCACCCTGAATCATGGTAGGTCAAGGCTAGAGAGCAGTATTGAACAGAGAAGGGGGCTGGGATTACAGTGTGGAACAATCTTACTCTATAGTCTTATGACTATAGAAAATAAAGCTCTACATGTCTTTTTGACTGGTAGGAAATGACTATAGAGACCAAAGGATGAAGAACTGTGGATTAGATTCAAGTGACAATGAATAGGTCAGGAGCTGTAGACCAACCAAAAACCTCAGTCTGGAGCCAATGACAAAGCAGGACCAGTAAGAAGAGCTGCTATGTCTAAATCTATGAGAATGATGTTGAATCTACTGCCAGCATCAGAGGAGCTTTCAGACACAGCTTGCCTTGGTGAAAGTGGTAGCTCCACTTTAGGAGGAAATGCTGGTGCTCACTATGGAGGGAGACCTTGGGTTTAGTTCTCAAACTCTGCTCCTTACTAGCTCAAGACCCTGGGCAAGCTCCTTGAGTGTCCTCAGTCTCAATTTCCTCTTTTGTAAAATGGGCATAATATTATGTGTGTCACAGGTTTGTTGTGAGTATTCAGTACGATAATTCATGTAAAGCTCTCTGTGTATGCCTAATAGATGGTAAGCACTCACTTGTGATACAGAATGAGGAAAATTATAAAGCAGTGTATGCTTAAATGTTTAATAAATGACACAGAAGTATTACAGGAAATATGGAGATTACTATGGGCTCTTGAGTTCTGTGCAGGTTTTAGGACATCCTTCTGAGAAATGGGGGAAAAGAAAGAAAACAAGATTGGTATAACACACTGTTATCTACTTGTACCACTAATCCATTCTTTAATTTATCAAATAGTGTCTCCTTTGTGTCAGACATCATGTTAAAGCACTAGAGATATAAAGAAAGATAAGATATACCTTATCCCTGAGGAGTTTGCCGTCCGTTGGGGGAGACAGTCAGAAAGCAGACACATAGTGGTAACATGGTTAAGTGCTGTGGCACAGGTATAAGCAAAGTCACAAGCAGCACAGAGACTGGGTCAGCCAGTTATGCCTAGGAGCAAAGAATGGGAGCGTGTGTTTAGGCTGAGACAATGCTGTATATAAAGAAACAGCTGCGCAAGGTTCTGCACGGTCAGGGGATGTGGGAAGTTGAGAATGACTCATGGGGGCACTCCAAACTCACGTACAGTTTACGTGAGCAAGGATGGTGTCTGGGTTTTGCTCACTGCTGTAACCTTAGTACTCACCACTAGGACCGCCCTCTAGCAGATGCTAGATAGACACTTGCTGGAGGAATTAATGCGGTTATGCGGTGGCCATTATATCTTGTGCTTTCATATGCCCTCTCCATATAAGCCTCACAGCTTCAGTGCTGAGATTCCCATTTTCACCATCGAGAAAATAGGGCAAGCAGAGAGCCTGAGGCACGTAGTTACTAAATAATAGAGTTAATATTTGAACCCATGAAGTAGAGAACTCTTAAAACTGAAGTGGAAAGGATAGGTCATTCCTACTTTTTGTCTTTTAAAAGATCCTTCAGAAGGAAAAACTTTTTCTCTATGTTTTCCTGATCATTAGTCAGAGCAATAAAGAACAGGTTGGGGAAATAAAAGCAGTACTATCTCTTTTGTATACTTTATACTGTTCTTTGCGTATAAATGAAAATGTTTAATTTAGAAACTATTCTGTTTCTGTCCAGGAAGCATGTATAAACCTTCCAAGTCGATCAGTAATAGAAAAGTTCTAATGCACCTAACTTCAAGACATCTCTTTTAAGATATCTTTCCATTGTTTATTTTAAAGTAGGCGTGAGCCTTCAACCATTGTTTACTACTGCATGATTTAAACCATTGAAGCTTAAGACACCACTGCTGCTGACTTAGACCACATATTTCTGAAATCTGAAGTCCTTTATCGCTTCTCATTGAAATTTCTTGTTATTTCTATTAAACTAGCATTCTTCATAATTTTTGAGGTGATCTGAAAGGATGATAGAAGGATTAGATGACCCTGTTACTCCTATAGATACAAACAAACAGAATTTAGAGCTTCTGAAATGAGAATTCACTCTTAATTGGCTGGCTTGAGGACCCATGGAAACTCACGTTCACATTTTCACATATTCTGAGCTATTTGACAT